AAGGAGGTTAGCCATAGCAATTGTATTGCTATAACATTCATGAGTACTTAGAAATGGAGATTTAAGTATTGGATAAACCCAGGCTCAGAGAATTACTTCATGGATTATATCACAAGTAATTTTGAGACGATAATATCTTATATATTTGAAATGGAGATATATGAGTTGTAATTTACAAGTCGTTTGTGCATTGGTTTTTGTAAAAACCTGTCTGTAACATGATGCTATAAAATGCAGTATCATGTATGATTTGGTGAGTAAAGGATACAAGCATATAAGTCAAAGTTTATTCGTTCCTTTTTTCCCTAACCGGAAAATTGATATTGTTGGGCACCTCGGTGATTTTGTGTTGACTTATAGTGTTGAGCCTTACCAGGACTCGATTGATGTGTTTAATTTGAAGCCTTATGCCGTCATCACAAATTAGGAAATCGGGAAAAAAAACTTGGACAATGAGATTGATTCTAATCCATGTCTCATGTCTATATGATATCTAGTACAACGGAGGAATATTTGATCACTTATCTTAGGACCAATGTCTGTTTACATCAGAGTTCGACAGTTGCTATGGAAGCACTCTTTGCTGTTTAATTTAAAAGTTATACTGGTAATTGCAATTATAGACTTATCCAAGTGGAAGACTGTTGGATTAGGTGTCTAAGCCAATAATTAAATTAGTATATACTTGAAATATTAGCAAATTCCTTTTAGGTTGCCCTCAAACCTAGTAATTGAATAACATGACTTTTAGAGAGAGAGAATGATTTATTGATTTATTATATAATTAATAAATAGTAATAAATCAATTTATTAATATGTTATAAAAATAATGTATAAATTAGAAATAGTAATATTTAATAAAAAATTAATTAGAATTAATTTTTGGATTAATTGGATTAATTAAAAGTGGAAGGGTTAACGTGTAATTGTTCAATAGTTGAACAACAGAGAGTTCCAAAACCTTCATTGGAAGGGGTGGATGATTTTTACGGTATTCCAGGGCATCTAGAATATTCCTTGCATCTAGAAGGGGTGGATGATTTTACGGTATTACTGAGGGTTATAGGGTTCTTTTTGTTCAATAGAATGTTACATATATATGGTTATGACTAGATCTAATAGGTTGCATGTACCCTTAAGTGTGTAAGGATTTATCTGCGTTATTGCATGTAAAGTAACCATCACTTCTTCGACTGTAACTCGCTTAAATCAACCTCCACATTTTGAGTTACAACTGAAATACAAGTTACAGTTCTCGCCATTATCTAAATAGGCTTTCTAGGAATAGGAATAGGAATTGAATGAGAAAAGACGTTTCCAACAACTTTTCCTCTATCTTTTCCTCCTTCCATTTTTGACGACACTCCCTTTTCTTTCCCTTGTGACACTTGCGAAGCATGTGGATCATTTGTGGGAAGTCTCACCACCAACTCCAAAATGGGTGCAAGTTGAGTTTTGAAAGTCTCCTCTATCGACGATAATTCTTTGGAGAGTTGCTCTTCAGATACCGAAGAGGACAAATTGTTTGATTGCATAAATACTTGGATATTTGATCTTGAAAGGAATTGAGAAAAAGTCTCAAATCCTTTGAAATTTGCATTATTAGAAACATTCTTCTTCTCCAACTCAGCCTTCTATTCAACATTGAAGGCTCGAACATCATCTACTAATGTTTTCACTGTTGATATCAGACTATCAATATTCCTCTTAAGACCAGAAAAGACATCACCAATCTTTTTAAGTATTGATGAAATAATATCAAAAACATTTTGAACCTTCTATTCAATAGACTCCTTTAAAGTCAATAATCACTTCTCAAGTAACTAATGTCGCTTCCTCGCAATAGTCTTTTCTTCTGATACTTCAAACTTGAAAGACCTTAAGTTATCTTCAAGTCTGCCATGTTTATCTGTCACAACTTCTTTCACCAAAATCTTAAGCTTCGGCTCTTGTGTCAATAACAGTGAAGCCAATACTAACAAATGAAGATGAATTTGCATATAAATCATTAAGAAACTGAAAAATCATATTCATCTTATAATTCAAAATCTTATACTACTTCCCGGATATAATAGCTTCACAATCATCTTCTTGAGTCTACGAGGCAATGGTTTAGTGGCTAAATTTTTATTTGAAAAAGTTTTTAAAACACTAGTTGCTTTATGATTCTATGGGGTTGAGCCTCCCTCGTAGGTTCTTGAATGACCACTCCTTTGTATTATATTTATTTGGAGTAAAAAACCTGAGAAACATCAACTAACGATTCTTGATATCGAATCAACATTGGATTTGTGAAAGGAACCAAACTTAACATGGACTCAGGAATCCTTCCAATCTTATGAAAACCATTTGGTTTATTAACCATCATCTTTGGAATTTGGAGTGTAGAAAATTCAGCCACTTCGACATTTGCTGGAACAAGAATACTAGCATGTTGATATGCCTCATTCAAAATTAAACTCTAAAACCTTGCACTTGCAATCTCCGTCGCCTTCTTGGAATGATTGATATGTGATGTGAACTCATCCTAAAGAAGTGAAGCATAATTAACCTTGATATTGTAATATAGACCTGCCATAATATAATACAAATGAAGCTTCACCTTATCTAACCCATAATTCCTTCCTATCAAACCCCATTTAATCAACCCACAGAAGAAAATCAATAATGATGGTAATATCGACTTTCGAAAATCACTGATCAAGGTAATTGAAGGAGAATACCCTATCTCATTCAACATTGCTAGAATTTGATCAGAAGAAGTAACCTCAAACGAACCATCAACTTCCAATTTGTGAATCTAAGAAAATTGATTATTAAACAATTTTTTCTTCCCCTTTTTCCATCTGAAATGTAATCACTTCTTTACTCTTATTGTACACAATAGTGGAACATGCAAGTTATAACCACTAAATTGGAATACAAAACGATGTAGAAAGTGCATGATGAAGAACATACCCATTCAAACATTCAAGAAGCATTTGAAGACGTTTAGGCTAAGCGTTGATATATATATATATATATATATATATATATATATATATACATACATACACATACATACATATATATATATATATATATATATATATATATATATATATATATATATATATATATATATATATATATTAAACCAGACATTATTGGATTGGATATTCATTTGCAGAACAGAGGTATCTTCATCAGTAGAAGCAAATAAATCAATGTTCAACATGAAGGTAAACGATCAAGGTAATTTCTTAGAAGATGAAAGATATTAGGGTTAGGGTTCTTGAGAGAAATATGTAGAAACGAAAAAAGAGTAATAGAACCGTCATTCCCCTTTTATAACATCAAATTTGAATTTGAATCAATATCCATTAAAAAACTACCACATGGAAAGTAGATAACTGAAGATACATCATCATTACCTGCCACACGTAAAAGAAATGAGTGTTTTCCCTTGAAAGGAAAAAAATAAACATTAGGATAAGACCATCATTACAACGGTTACTTCTCGATGTAGCAAACGTCGAACATCATACTTTGTAACATCAAACATCAGTCTGAATTTCTTCATGAGAACAGAGTAGGTAGGGTCTCATCTACTTACGGGAAAAATAAAATCTTGGCTTCAGTTGGTATTATTCGAAACCTCGAGGATTCTAGCACAATAGTGTGCCAAAGAAAAGAGAGAATCAAAAATTTTCTTTTTTGGGAATTCATGATATCAAAATAACTTTTGACATAAAAACAATATGATCCCAAGCGAAGATTTTCTTCATTCAACATCATGAGAGATATCAAAGTGCTTTTATGGTGTCCCTTGAATTACAATCGAATACTTATAAAGAAGTATCGAAGTCCCTCTTTTGATCAGTATCGATGGTAAGCTTGTTTCCAAATATATATATCAAAGTTAACATAAGAGAAATGATATATATGAGAATCATTGAGTGATCAGTATAATCAGCTGCAAGTCAGCATGAGTTAGATGTAAAGTAACTAAAGGATTGAAATTGTTCAAATGGAAATCTCATATCATGAAATAAAATTTGGATCTCTTTGGGAAGAAATGACTTGGAATTGGTCAATTTCATTAAGATCTCGCATATGAATGAAGAATGAGATTTTGAACATTATGTAGAGGCATACTGAAACATAAAGAGTTTCTCTGTCAATTCCCTGGTTAAAATCTAGAACATTAAATTGTTCACCATCAATTCATTAATGGTATTTATTGTTACGACGAACTCCAGGTGCATACTTAGCTCTTTTACCCAAAGGGTCTCGGTCCAATAAATGTCTGGGAATTCACTCTACATAAGAAAAACCGGAGCTAGGTCGAACAGGCATGCCGATGGTTGGACCCCAACATAACCCTCCTATTCCTAAGTTAGATTGTGATTCTTGGTGTTGCATTGACGCTAAGGAATATAAGTTCTCCTTGTCTTACCTCCCCCCAGGTTATCATGTCTCTGGGGTATTTATAGGTTGATTGTGATTAGAAAAGACCATATCCTTAACCGATCCTCCACCTATTATCCGGTCTACGAGCAGGCGTGCTTCTTGTCCTTTCCTTATTTGTTTTATTTTCTTCGTACTATTTTGCGTATTTATTGGGATACGATTCTGATGTTTGCATACGATGTAGTAGAATTCATACTTGTCTAAAGCAAATGACAATGCCTTTAAAGTCGACTTGGTGAGTACTAGGCCGGTAATAGGTTTCCTCAAACTTCCGGCCTGGTACACCATTAAGCCCCTCAGTCTGAAGGGTAAAAGAATATTGCCAAAATATTTTTTCCGTTTAGACTTCTAAATACATATCGAGTACTGTAAAATCCCTCGTATGATGTCCATTAAATGCTTGCACCATCGCACGCCATCTTTCTTGCTTTGATTGGATTGCCCTTAATAAATGCTTTAATCGGTCCCTATGATTATATATCGAGTAAGCCTGATTTGTTCTTATAGAAACTTCTTTACATTGTGTTCCCTTTGACTTTCCCATCACTATGACTTCAATTGGTGATGACATGTCTGCATTTGCGTCCGAAGTGGACTGTTGCAAGCTGGAGCAATACACTCATGAATATCACCTTTCTCCTGTACTTGGTTTCCAAGTTCCATCTTCATCTTCGTCTATTCTTGATGCTCCGCCTGGTAAGATTGGTTTCTATCTCCGACATCTTGTTTGTGGGTTATGGTTACCCTCGTCTTGGTTCTTCTTGGAGGTTCTTTTTTACTATAAAGTTCATCTTGTCCAACTATGTCTGAATGCGGTGTCAAAAATTGTTACTTTCGAAGTTTTTTGTGTTGCTTATGAGATACCACTTGATGTTTTATTGTTTTGCTATTTTTACACCTTGAAGAAGTATGGCGACTGGTTTTCTTTCAGAAGTTGTCACTTTCCTCTTTCTCCAGATTTAGCTCGTTCCAATGGTAGCTGGAAAAGTAAGTTTTGTTGGGTGGACATGTATAGCATGTGTTTACTGTTTGTTCCTTGTTATGTTTTACTTGGTGATGATTTTGTATCTTTGTCTGCTGACCTTTATGTGTTTGTGCCTTTATTTTCCCTTTTCTGTGTGAAGAGGGAATTTCTGTCGGAAGTTGTACTTTCTCTGTGTCATATGAACCCATTTTGGAAAGCCCGTTGTGAACTACTAGTGTTATCTGTATGTCATGCAGGTTTGTCTAACCTTTTACTAGATTTAGCATAAGTTCTGTTTTCTGCTTTCCCTGGTTGTGGGTAATCTCCTGATATAAATGTTGCCTCCAGGTGATTTCTCTATGCTCATTTATTATTGTATATGGGAGTAAATGCTCCTTTTAGTTGACATCATATTTGGCCTATGATATCTCTCCCGAGTCAATTGTACTAGATGGTGTGGTCTCGGATTGAGATGTGGATCCGATAATTTCTATGCCCGAGTCGCCCGCTACTTTTCCAGGGTTTGGGTTGAACGTGTTCTCTATTAATCAACTTCTAGACATATCTTGCCTTGTGATTGGTTCTACACGTGTTGGTTTTTCTAGCTCTGTAGGAATTGTGCCCCCGGGAAGTGTCTCTCCTGACCGAAAGCGTAGGCGGGTTCTCTTGCTTGATTAATTTGAGCAATTTTTATATGAGATTTCCCATGTGGGCCCTCGCTACATGTCTCATTCGTCTTTAGGTCATGTTTCCCTTAAACCTGATGGTATGTAAATAGTTTGGCACACCTATGTTATACGTTCTAAATGATTATTTTATTCCGCTAATGCCATTTCCCTGATTTTGTATATGATTTCCCTTCTTGTGTATTGTTTGAGGAAGAGTTGGACGAAGCATGCCAGTTTATAGCCATTCTAAAAAATTTATCTTCACTGCACTTGGGCGAGGTCTCAAGTTTTTTGACGGGTTGTTAACCTTGCGAGACCGATTTCTAGCTACGGAGGTGAATTTATGTATTACCGAGGGTATGAAGCTTGCAAGTGAGGAAATGCTGGTGAAGGTCGGGGACATGCACACGGACCTGTCGATACGTGACCGAGACACTATGGCCAAGGTTGCTTCGCTAGAAAATCAGATAGCTCTTGTCTAAACGAACTATGAAACTTTTCCTCCAGAGAACAGCATACTGCGTGCTCAATTCCTTACTAAGTCCTGATTGTGTGGGTTATACGAGTTGATTATGCTCTTTGCTTTTAGGTAAGCGTGAACTTGGTGTTTTGATTGTGTTCCTAACCGACTCTTCTTTTGTGGCTGGTCTGTTTGGGACATGGATAATTATGGTGCGGAGTGTCACCATGTGTTATGACTGTTGTTGATCATGTTGTTTGTTGTGGGAACCGTTGATTTGCTAGTGCCCTTAGATAATTATAAACTTCTTGTAAATTAACCAACACATTTTTCCCGCCCGACAGATGTTAGATAGATGTTTTTCATGTCTCTTGTTGGGTCGATGACAGGTGTCAAGAACAAGTAATATCTTTTTTGACTAAGCGGGTAATTTGTGCCTAGAGTATATATAGATGTAGTCGGTGGACCAAGCTACATGTTTTGAAGATTAAGTGTATTCTTAGGCTAAGCGGGTAGCCTGTTTTTTGAGTAATGATACTCGATGTATACATAAGTGTAGTCGGTAGACCGAGCTACATGATTTGAAGAATAAGTGTATTCTTAGGCTAAGCGGGTAGCCTGTTTTTTAAGTAATGATACTCGACATATACATAAGTGTAGTCGGCGGACCGAGCTACATGCTTTGAAGAATAAGTGTATTCTTGGGATAAGCAGGTAGCCTATTTTTTGAGTAATGATACTCGATGTATACATAGTGTACTCGGTGGACCGAGCTACATGATTTGAAGAATAAGTGTATTTTGGGCTAAGCGGGGAATTCATTTTTGTTGCTTTACTATCTGACATATTTCCCTGCGTGTGGTATTAAACATTTCGATCTGGCTATCGGGTATTTTCTTTGTTTATCACTGTGGTACCCTTATAATACGGATGACGGTAATGTTTTTATGGTGAACTCCCGATGTATACTTAGCTCTTTTACCCAAAGGGTCCTGGTCTAATAAGCGACCAGGAATTCACTATGCATAAGGTAAACCAAAGCTAGGTCAGACAACCATGCCGAGGGTTGGACCTCGGCATAGCCCTCTGATGCGCAAGTTAGTTTGTGATTCTTGGTGTCTCCTTGATTCTAAGGAATATAATTTCTCCTTATATTACCTCCCCTAGGTTATCATGTCTCTGGGGTATTTATAGACTGCATGTGATTAGGAAATCCCATATCCTTGACCGGTCCTCCTCCTATTATCCGGTCTATGAGCAGGTGCACTTCTTGTCCTTTACTTGTTTATTTTATTTGCATCATACTCTTTTGCATATTTCATGGGATACGATTCTGATGCCTGCGTACAATGTATTCGAATTCATACTTGTCAAAAGCAAGTGGCAATGTGTGTAACGCCGACCTGGTGAGTACCAGGCCGGTAATGGGTTTCCTCGAACTGCCAGCCCGGTACACCAGTATTGTTTTGTGGGTTTCACCGAAATCATGGTAATAATGACCTTAAGATCATAAACACATATTTTTGGCAAGACCGTGATTCTAGTTGGTTTCGACTAGAGTTCTAATGGGTTTTGCATGTATATGTGTGAATTGTGTAAAGATGGACAACGAGTTTCTCACAAATTCATGGTGGCAATAAATTTAATCATAAAATCGATATTCGAATAACCATAATTCTAAGTTGGTATCAACTTAGAACATCAAGGGTTAAACAAAAATATTTGGAAATGTACTCGTCAATTCCTTTGTTTTAGTCTAGGATACAAAGTATTCCTCAAAAAAAAATTCGCAACCAATTTTTTTTTGATCTTTTTGATTTTTTTGAAAAGACAAAAATAAATAAAATCCTTTTGATAATTTTGATTTTTCGAAAGACAGAAATAAAGAAATTTTTTTTGAGTTTTTATTTTTGAAAAGATAGAAGTAAAGAAAATCTTTTTGAAAATTTTGATTTTTGAAAAGGGAAAAAGAAAGAAAGAAAGTACGAGTATCGAATGAGAGGTATGTCAACATCTTGATAGTAAACATTACACCTCTGAATGATTCAATGAGAATATCGAACACAGAAAGTATCGAAGCTTTGACTATGACGCGTAATGTTTGAATGATTTAGCTCCAATATCGAACCACAGAGTATCGAACTCTCAACAAGTAACAATGACTTCGATATCGAAAAAGATAAGACTTAGCTTGAAGTTGGAACATGCCTACATAATTCCTAAACCACTAAATATCCTTAGAAAAGACTTTTCATCAAGAGCTTTTGTGAAAATATCTGCAAGTTGATATGTTGTTTGGACAAAATGCACCTTAATATTACCATCTTTGACATGATCTTTGATGAAGTGATATCGAAGAGCAATGTGTTTAGTCTTGGAATCTTGAACGGGGTTATGAAAAATGCGAATTGAACTTTGAGAATTAGAAAACAATGGTATTTTCTTCATGTTAATTGCATAGTGACGATGTTGACTTTGAATCCATATCACTTGAGAAGTACATGCAACATTAGCAACTTACTCCGCCTCTATGGTTGATATCGAAACACTCCTTTGCTTCTTCGACGACCAACTTACCAACTTCCCTTCAAAAAATTAACGACCACCAGTTATACTCTTGCGATCAAGTTGAAAACCACCCAAATCAACATCTAAATAGGCTTGAATGAAAAAAAATCGTATGTACATGATACTAAAGACCAAGTGTGGGTGTTCGATGAAGATATCGAAAGGTATTCTTCATAATAGTAAGATGTGGCTCCCTTGAATTAGCCAGATACCTAGCACAGTTACACGATGAAAACATAATATTAGGTCGAGTCACAGTTAGATATAGCAATGAGCCAATCATGCTTCAATAATTCTTTAAATCAACAACTGGCTTATCCAAAGAATCACTTAATCTTCTGCCAAAATCTACTAGAACCTTCACATCTAAGCACTTGTCCATCCCAAATATTTCAAGTAAATTCTTCATGTATGATTATGTTGGATTAGGTGTCTAAGCCAATAAAAAATAGGTATATGCTTGAATTAAAAGCAAAGTCCTTTTGGGTTGCCTTTAGATCTATTAATTGACTCGAAGAGTTTTGGAGAGAGAGAAGTTAATTTATAGGTTTATTATATGATTAATAAATAGCAATAAATAATTTATTAATATATTACAAGATTAATATATTAGCTAAAAATACTATTATTTAATTAATAATTAATTGGAATTAATTTTGGGATTAATTAAAAGTGCAAAGACCTAAGCTGTAATTGTTCAATAGTTGAACCAGAGAAGGAAATATTCTAGGGTAGGCCAAATATTTGAAGGCTACTTAGGGTTTCTAGATGATTCCACATAGATAATATGGACAATAAGGAAACTAGATAAAGTCGAGATTTGAAATAAGATTATTTTATTTCAAATTAGGGTTATCTAGGGTTTTTCTATTAAATATAGATATGGGCCTTTTTCTTATAATTTTCGGCCACTTGATGCCTTAGAAGAATAGCAGAAAAACCTCTCCCCTTTCCTCTCTCCTCAAGTGTTCTAATTGCTAGGGTTTTGGTAGAAACCATCAAGGCACAAGATTTCTGGTGCTTGCTTGCTAGAGCTTGTTCAAGACGGATTTGATTGATTATTACACAATAATAATCAAAAGGTATGTAAACCCTAACCTCTTTTTAAATTTTGATTATAATAGGGTTTACTAGGATGCTTTTATGCTCATAGACTATAGCTATCAATAGAGAAAACTTAAATCCAAATAGGTTGCATGTGAACTTAAGGTTAAGTTTTTCCGCCACATGATTTAATTATAATCTATAAAACCAAGCAGTGGTATCAGAGCCATAGGTTTTCTATTTGATTGTGCATTATAGTGAATAGATCAAAATTATGGTTTATGGAAATTAAACCATCATAGTCATGATTTTCGACTTGGCTAGGGTTTCTTGAAACTCCTAGCCTCCTTAAAACTATTTTCAAAAACAGGGGATCCTTTTTAGGGTTTTATCTTCTTTCCTTAATTATTATTTTAAAATCCTTAAAATTTGAATAATTAAAACCTGATAAACCCAACCTTATTTTCGAAAATTAGGAGGGTAGGATTAGCATTAAATTTGAATTATTTTATTAATTGTTTAATTTAAAGAACTATTAAATGCCTAGAC